CCTCTTCACTGCTTTTGTTGGCTTTCTTGTTTTCCATTTCACTTATAACATACTATACTGTTTACTTATTTATTAGAATTATTGTGGATAAGCTGTCTCTCTCAATTGGCATGTAAGCTTCTCTACCATATCATATATGTTAGGCAGGTGTTTTTTTTGGGGGGGGGGGCACTGTTGTTTTTGTTTCATCTTTTGAAACCATACCAGGCCATGCTCAAGATTTCACTCCTGTCTCTATGCTCAGGGATCACTCCTGAGAGTGAGTGCTTGGGGGAATAATACAGGGTGTCAGGATTGGCTGCGTGCAAGGCTAATGCTTTACCCACCGGAAGATCTCTCTGTCCCTCATATATCTGTTTTGTTCTTCAAAATATTTCACATGCTGAGACAAACACCCTGGCTGATTAAAACAGATCAGGGGATATCTGATGGATGAAAGCATAACACACCATTTCCCCCAATAAATACTTTCCTCTTGTTAGCAGGACCTGTCATATCACTGTAACTCAGTGTAATGAGCAAAATAATGACCCTCACTCCAAAGACGTCCAAGTTCAGATCTCGAAGAACAGGAGAGTATCACTGTATGTGGTCAAAGAGACTTTCCCAATGTTATTAAAGATTTTGAGATGGGGATACACTAAATTAACTAAATGGAACACCATGTAATCACAGGCTCTTACAAGACAGGGTCAGGAGGAACAAAGAAGGAAACATGGCCAGAAGCAGGGTACTGAGGGATGGGCTGGTTGGGGCCTGGTCCAGCCACTGCTGCTGGTCTCCAGATGCCGGAAAAGTCAAGGATGAGTCAAATCTCCTGGCAGGACCATACACAGCTCTGCTAACACCTGTTTTAGCCCAAGGAAAACTATTTGAGATGTCTAACCCTAATACTGGTAATTAAGAATCAACCAAACAAACAAAATTCATGTTGTTTCAAACTATTGCACTATGGTCATTTGTTTCAGTGGTAATAGAAGCTAGTGCATTCAGGGGCCAAACACACAGTAAATGTCAGCTGCACGGTTCTGGAAACTAACAGATAAGTTCTTACTCTTAGTCAACAAAACGATTTCAGTCCCTAAGAACAGCAGAGTGACTTGTGTCATGAGCCCAAAACAGTGATTGCACTTATATTTTCTTAAGTCTTTCTCTCTTCCAAATAATTTTGACTCTGAGATGCTTCTGACAACTATTTCCACGTGAGTATTACATAGAAAGAAAGAAATTTATTTAATAAAAAGTAATTTGGTCCTTACAAACGCCCAATTCTTTGCATTCACAGTTCACCAATGTTTGCTTCAGCAGACTGGTTGGGGTGCATGCAAGGAGTTTTTTTTTTGTGAACATTTCAAATCTTGACCAAGAATCTATTTTTAACACTGACACTTTAGTAGAGAAGTGACAAAATCATTAAGAACACATGTCAGTGAAAATTTAAACATTCTAATTTGTTGGTGAAATCTTTCCGTACTGCATTTAATAAGATGAAGGCCAGAAAGATAGCTCAAGATGCTGGGACACTTGCTTTGAATGCAGGAAGCCTGGGTTTAATTCCTGGCACTATATATCGCCCTGAGTAGCAGTGGGGATGACTCCTGAGCACTGATCCAGGACTATGCCCGGAGCACTGCCAGATGAGTCCCCAAGCCAAAATAAATTTAAAAAGATAAAGAAATGGTTTCTTCATAGCTCTTTGCTTTCTGACACCCTCAGCCTACTGACCATTATTTACTGCCATTATTTTCAAACCAGAAATTAAAAATTGAAGGTTGATTCTTTTCAACTAAATAGTTGATAAATCTGATAAGTAATTTTTATATTAATATCAATGAGTCAGGAAAACAAAATTATAAGGAGAGCAAACATCTTTTCAATGAAATAGGAGAGATATTCTGAAATATTTTAAGCATCCTGAAACAACCAATCCATAATAAGTCAGAATTCTTTGGGTGCAGAGCAACTGTACAGTGTGGATGGTGCCTGCCTTACAAGCAGTCAACCTGTGTTCAACTCCCAGTACCCCATATGCTCACCTGAGCACTGCCAGGAATGATTCCTGAGTGCAGAGCCAGAAGGAGGAAGAAAGGAAGAGAGGGAGGAAGGGAGAAAGGGAGGTAGGGAGGGAGAGAGGAAGGCAGGCAGGCAGGCAGGAAGGTGTTAACTGTAATGCTATTTACAATAGCCAAGAACTGGAAATAAGACCAAAGTCCAACAACAGATTAAAAAGAGCTTTACTAAATTTAAACATGAGGACAACTGAATTCAGAGAGCATTCCCTCACATAGGCGGACTGGCACTGTGCAATCTCCTTGCTATTAAAGTGGGCATTTAATGTCTACCTGACCATCCACATCCAGCCACTGGCTCTCATTCATCAATAGTCTGAGAGAGCTTGGTGCCAAGCCAGGAGTACAAGACCACACATGACTAGGACACACATCTTGGAGGAATATCTTCTAATTCAGTTGTTTAAGACTGTTCAAGAGTGTCATTCCTCTTGACCTATGTTTTCAATAAGTACAAAGATTCTTTGAAGGATGTGACTGGTTTCTGCCCCTGCTAGCACACTCTGCCTGTTTACTCTGGTTATATCGGATGCTTATCTGCCTTATCCCTTGTTGTGCTGTCAAGCTAATGCCTCAGAGCACATCTAAGCTGTATCCTAAACCCTACAACCTCGTGTATCACTGCATTGCCTGGGAGGCTCAATAAATCATGTTGCCAAATAGCAGCAAATCAATCCAGTTCTTAGAAAGAGGACACAAATCACAATCACTAACACCTTCCTGCAATACCCAAAAAGGATTTGGAATGTATGACTGTCTAAGTTGTCTGATACCATTCCATTCCAACTAGACCCTTCCTGAGGTGCCAGGTCTGGTTTATGACACATGATATGATGCAACACAGGAGTTTAAGAAGAAATGTGTAGATCAATTTTCAGTCTGAAATCTACAAAGGTGTTTATCTTAGAAGTATACCTATTTCAACCAACACATAATACCGAGCCAAACTCCTGATCTGCAGTTCAGACAATCTTCTGGACAAGGTAAGTACTGTCAGTGAACAAGAAATCTGGAGTGGAACCAAAATGTATCAATCCCTCAGAGAATATGTCACAGGCACATAGGGGTGACAGATGGGGAGATATCACTGCGGTCCCAACTTCTGATTCATTCCATTTCTAGGTCACAAGGAAGACACCACTCAAAGTTTTCTACAGGAGCTGCTGTTAAGAAATATATTTGATAATGCCAGAAAATTCTTGACTCTTCTGCTAAGTTAACTTACTCATGTTTCTGTCTTGTCGATTTGCAAATAAACTTAGATTCTCTAGCAACTAAGACATCTCTTCTTTTTTCTTATACTTTTTCTCCCCATTTTTTATAATTTTATTTTATTGAATCACCATGAAAGCAATTACAAAGCTTTCGGATCTAAGTCTCGGTCATACAATGAAACACCCGTACCTTCACCAGTGCCCATTCTCTACCCCCAACAACCTCAGTATACCCCCATCCCACACCCTCCCTCTACCTGTGGGGCAGATGATTTCCACATTACTCTCTCTCTATTTTGATCATATTCAATATTTTGACACCAGACCCACCATTATTATTTGAGATTTTACCCCAACACTCAGATCTGCTGATAAAGCTACCATAGACAATTTGTTTTCTATTGCTGGTTATGAATAACATACAATGTTGCGTGGTGGCAGTAGTGGCTGTGTGATTTTGAAATTCCGAAATTTTAACACTTAAATCTGGAGGGATTTCTGCCAAAACCTGCTGGGTTACGAGATTTGTTCCTGAGTCTCTGGGATCATGGCCATTAAGCAGCTTGATCAGGAGCCAGAGAGGCCATTTGTGGGTGATGACTTGGGGTGTTGTTGGGGTGGGGAGGACAGGACCGGCTCCACCCCCATCCCGTGAGGCCCTGCGTGTCTCATCACTGTGGGTCCGAACCTGACTATCCAGTGGCCTAGAGGATAGCGGCCTGGTACGAAATCTATTCCTACCTGGGTTGGCCCAGCACTGGTAACCTACTGCAGGGACCGGATGCAATTCTGCCAAAAGCCGCTGGGTTTCGAGATTTGTTTCTGAGTCTCTGGGATTATGGTCATTAAGCAGTTCAATCAGGCACCAGAGAGGCCATGCCTCCAATTATATAGCTGAGCCGGAGGTGGTTTGTGGGTGTGTCTCCCACATACCTAACTTTTGGCCATTTACTTTCTTGGTAAACTTTGCCCCAAGTTTTTGGGGTCTGGCCAAAGGCACAGCAGCAATTTTGGGGTATCTGGGCGTCTGAAGACATCTCTTCTTGATTGCTGTTCAAACACTAGAGATCCTCCCAAATAATCCTTTATAAAAATGTCCGCAAACCACACTTTTCCCCATCATTCCCCCTGTTCCGGTCTTGCTTTTCCTATAACACTCATTTATCATCTGACATGGTTACCAAATGTTGCTTAATTTGGGCTTTTTCTTTTTCCCACTAGGGAGGTGTCATCTTTTATTTTGTTTGCTTTTGTTTGGGGGTGAAACCTGGCAGTGCTACGGGTTACTCCTGGTTCTACACTCTAGAATCACTCTTGGTGGGCTTGGAGGACTATGTGGGATGCCAGGGAATGGACACCAATTGACCGCATGCAAGCCAAGTGCCTGACTGCTGCACCATAGCTTTGACTGGGAAAGTGTCATCTTGATGGTCAATTTTGCTTCTCTGCTGCATCCCAGCAACAATGCCTGCTAACAGTGGGTTTGACTGAATGAATGACTAAAGAATGGAAAATTTTGTAAAACTCTCATTTCTGCATTTCAACTTTCTCCTTAAGCCTGAACTTCAATTCTAAAATTCTATCCTGATTCTGCCCTGATTCTGCTGATTCTGATGTGTTACTGCTGTTTTTTTTTTTAATTAAGCTAGCCTAGACCTTTTATCAAATGAAGCAGCATTTGAGAGAGACATAAAAGGGGGAAGGGCAGGAACCTTACCTGTTTCACAACAGTCACTGTCCCTGGGGCCATGGCGACAACTGAGGCAACAGCTGTGGCATCATGGGTCTCTGTGCCCAGCTCGATGATCTGCTGGAGGATGTTTACAGCGGTGGGGTCAAGTCGGTCACCTTATAGGGAGCAGGTAAATAAGAGACCCATTAGGGACACGCAAAAGATCAATGACTGCAAAATCTCCTTCCTTTGAGACCACCTGTGGGCAGTACCCTCCTGAAGGGACATGAAGACTCTTGATAAATCATCTGACGACAAAAACCATTTGTCTGACACTTTAGGCTCATAATTACCTCCATTAAGAGTGAGGCAGAACACCAAATAACTATTGTGATGATATTATTTTCATTTCATACACAGGTATTCCCATGATTGAAAAAACAAAGAGATTTATTTAGTGCTATTACCTTAGCCTGAGTTCTATCTCTGAGTAGTCAAGTTACATCTCAAGGAAGTCTGGAAGTATGTATAAAACACATATGTATAATGGTGTATTACAATTTGGTGACATAAAATTATTTCTCAAGACAGAACCCCGAGAAGCACTAGTTTACACTTTGAGCCTTGGAGCTGGTTTCTCCTAAGCACACTCATGATAGGTAGTCGTTGAGATTGTGCCAAATGAATTGCACAAGTTCTCGGCTAAACATTTAGAACTTACCCAACTGTCAAACCAAAGGTCTTTAGAATTACAAACCAATTTAAGCCCAGGGTTCTGTTTTGATCATCTTGAGAGACTGGAACCCATAACATCAGGTCAGCTTCTCAGTGTGCCCTGCCCGCTCTCCCCATCTGCTTGACCATCTGTGACTCTTCTGGACACAGCACTCTGACACTAATCATCATTAATTCACTGAAAAGGAAATTAGTGTCGTATCTCCATGTTAGCATAATATTATGAAGTCTCTGATAGTGTTTGCATCCTCATGGATGGCTTTCTGTGGGCCATATATCATTCAGCAGAAGATCAGACCAGAGAAATTTGTCACATCCTATCTGTATAGGACAGAACAGGGCATGCGGCCATGCAATTATATAAAGCGACTGTATATTTACATTGAGCCCAGCCTATCACAATCCCTGACTCTCTTTCTCACCTTTTCTTTTTCTCCTTGTCTTCTCTAACTTCTCACCCCTGTCCACTCTCCTTCCTCAAGGGCCATGTTTTTCATTCCTCAACCATTTACTCCCTCACTGACTGTTTCAGAGTTCCAAGCTGTCATCGGGAACATAATTCCCAATGGGAATACAGAGATCAAACTGCTTCTCTCCCCCTTCACCTTCGGGAGCTCACATACCACAGGTCATATCTGTAAGTGAATCATTCAGGCATTTAGTCTGTTCCAAATCAGTAGGACCGCTAGAAAAGTACCCCAGAAAGTCAGGCTGGCTTCTGCAGCACAGACTGTGAAAGACAAAGATGACTTTTCTGGGGAAAGACACTATATAGTGGAAGAGTGCAGACCAGGTCCTGGCAAGCCCAGGGTGCAGGATGAGCAAGTGTGAGGTATGGCCCTTGAAGATAATAATCAGAGGAGGCCAGAGGTACATGGTAGGGTACTCAGGATCCAAAGAAGATTGACTAAGAAAATGATGGTTGGAGGGAGGGGAGATGTGTACTGAAAGCAGATAAAAGACCAAATATGATGGCCTCTCAGTATCTGTACTACAAACCATAATGCCAAAAGTAGAGAGTGAGTATGGGGGAAATTGTCTGCCAGGGAGGCAGGGGGAGGGTGGGAAAAGGGAGGTATCCTGGGGAGATTGGTGGTGGGAAATGTGTACTGGTGGAGGGATGGGTATTTGATCACTGTATGATTGTAACTCAAACATGAAAGCTTATAACTCTATCTCATGGTGATTCAATAAAAAAAAAAAACACTATCACTGTATCACTCTCATCCCGTTCTTCATCGATTTGCTCGAGTGAGCACCAGTAATATCTCTATTCGTTCCAGCCCTGAGATTTTAGCAGCCTATCCTTACTCGTCCTTCCCAATGCTGCCATACTGGAGGCTCTTTCAGGGTCAGGGGAATAAGACCCGTTATTGTTACTGTTTCTGTTTTTGGCCGGAGCGATAGCACAGCGGTAGGGCGTTCGCCTTACAAGCGGCCAGCATGGCCGACCCGAGTTCGATTCCTCCGCCCCTCTCGGAGAGCCCGGCAAGCTACCGAGAGTATTCGATATGCCAGACACAGTAACAACAAAGTCTCCAATGGAGACGTTACTGGGCCCGCTCGAGCAAATCGACGATCAACGGGAGGGCCTTTACCTTTACCTTTACCTCTGTTTTTGGCATATAGAATACACCATGGGGAGCTTGCCAGGCTCTGCCATGCAGGTGGAATACTCTCGGTAGCTTGCCGGGCTCTCTGGGAGGGATGGAGAATGTATATAAGAGAATACAAGCAAGTATGTTAAAACCAAAAATAAATAAATAAATAATAAAAATAAAAAAAATAAATAAGCACTATTAGCACTGTCCTCCCATTGTTCATTGATTTGTTCGAGCGGGCCCAGTAATGTCTCCATTGTGAGATTTGTTGTTACTGTGCTTGGCATATCGAATACATCACAAGGAGCTTGCCAGTCTTTGCTGTGCAGGCAAGATACTCTCGGCAGCTTCCCGGGCTCTCTGAGAGGAGTAGAGAAATAGAACCTCGGTCAGCCAGGTAGGCCATGTGCAAGGCAAATGCCCTACCACAAATAAAAAAAAAAAAAAAAAAAAAAAGAAGGTCGTCCTGGCTTGCCATACTGCAGCGTCTGAGTCATGTAAAAGAGGAGGAAGGAGACCTTTGGGAGCACTTAGGAATGAGAATGTGAGGGAATGGGCAGTGAGAAGGATGGAGACAGGTTGGCTGTATTGGCAGTGCCTTGCAAGCATTGATCTATTGAATGAAAAGGAAGGAAACATGGACTCAGACAGGGCTGAGTTCTGGAAATCTCTCGCATCAGGTCCTGTATGATCCCTCTGCACACACACCTGCCATTCCGGGGGACTAGAAAGCAGAGGGCCTGGCCTTTAATTCCTCCTGGCTCAGCCGGCAGTGAGCACAGGGCTGGCTCAACTTCCTGAAGTGTCGGGCCTGAAGACACTTCTGTGAAGCTTTCCTACAACTTGAGACTTAGGGACTGAAGAAAGGAAATGGTGGTTTCCTACCTCCCCACTCCTTCCACCAGCTGACTTCATCACTGACTTTCAGCCTGAAGGAAAATGTTTCCATGCGGAACGCCCGATTGGCACTAGGCTAGCTCTGCTCACTTCCTTCTCCTCCCTCCACTCCCCCTCTTCTCCTCCGCCCAGTTCGCCTCTCCCTCTCTCCTCTCCCTTTCCTCCTCTTCCTCTCTTTCTTTTCCCTCTCCATCTCCTTTTCCTCTTCCTCCTCCTCCTCCTCCTCTTCTTTTCAAAACTAATCTGACATTTTAGGTCTAAGCAACACTATAAAAGGTAAGGTTCGTGCCTTCACACTGCCAATCCTGGTTTGATCCCTGGCCTTGCCTATAGCTCCCCAGTCACCAAAAGGAGTCATCCCTGAGCATAGAGTCAGATGTGGTTCTGAGGATCTCTGCATCTGATGTCAAAACCCAAAACCCAACTGCCCCCCACAGAAAAAAAATCCTAAACTAACAGTGGAAAGTAGTAAACATGACATAAAACCTTGGCTTGGAGCTTTCCAAAAGAAGAAGTAGGTAACCCTGGGCTCTTCGGGAGAACTCTGGCAAGGCCAGAAGCTATGCACCCGAGTCAGGTGTTTGACCTCTACCAGCTCACCCCACCACCCACTGAATTGCTGGCCTGGCCTCTGTGGCCCTCGAATGAACCCCAATATTAGAAGACCAAGAAGGAACATGGAATGAGGGTGGCACCCCCAAAGAGAAATTGTCTGGCCTAGACACTAGGGCCAGTTACAATGTGCAAAGCTGATAATGTTCGACCACCATTTACTGTGAATCAACTTCCTGCCTCTGTGAAGTGAGAGTGAACAAATCTGCATCCTCCACAGACTACTCTGAGGGGTCATGAGTTAATGGTGGAGCTATGTGGCACTGGCACCTCATTATGAAGTGCTACCCTAGTTCTCTGAGCCCAACAATGGACATAGCCTGAAGTCAGAACCCTGAGACCCTGGTTAAAAGAGAAAAAAAAGTAAATCAGCTGACAGAACCATTCATTCACAAGTCTAAACACTCAGCAGATCGACTCAAGACCAGTTCTGAGGAAGCAGAGGGTGAAAGGGCAGCCCCTCACCACTCTCCGAGGTGTATCTCAAGTCCTGGAGTGCGGCCACAGCTGCCTGCGTCCCTTGAACATCCTCTTCGGCTTCTGTGATGTGCAGATACTGGGTGGAGGGCTCCTCAGAAGTTTCTGTTGCTGGCTAAATAGACATAGAACACCATTTATGACCTAGAAGATCTATCCCCAAGAAGCTCCAGATAAATTACTAAGATGCAACCAAAGCATACAAGGAACATGCTGTAATAGCTCTTTCCCTGGCATTCCAGAGAAACCAACTGTTCCAATAAAGGCATCCCTCCCCAAAAGAACATCCCCTTGCAAGTATCAAGACCTTTGAAAGTCAGGTCTGGTGGAAAGCTACCTGCTATACAAGCCTGCCTCAGGGAATGAAGTATGCAGTTCATAATTAGGGATTACACACCCTCACAGATTCTTCTGTGTGCTCTTCTTGGCCCTTTTATCTGTCTCCCCATGTTAGGAGACCTGTCTCCAATTTTCCCCATTACTGGGGCCTCTTGCCCTGCAGCTGACAGAGGAAGGGTGCAGCAGTGGGCATAGAGGAAGGAAGGAAAAGGAGGGCCATCACATTCATAGGTAAGACATCTTTGCTATTCATGTGATTCTTTTTATATAACAAGCATGAAAGTAGAACCGATTTAGAAAACGCACATCTCTGTCAAATCAGGATGAATGTGGAATAAAAGCGACCAGAGCATCATTCACAGGCACTTCCTTCTTCAGACAGAGAAGGGATGCAACTTGACATTATAAATAACTATCCCCTTCTTGGGGAGATATATATATATACACACACTTTGAAAATAGTGCCTTCCAGAGACTGCAGAGATATTATAGCAGGTAGGTCATTCACCTGCCTTGTATGAGGTTGACCCAGGTTCATCCCCAACACCCCATATGGCTCTCTGAGCTTATCAGAAGTGATCCCTGAGCACAGAGTCAGGAGTAAGCTCTGAGGATCATTGGGTATGACCCCCTACCACAAACCAAAACCAAAACAAAATTAAAAAATCATGTCCTTCGGGGAAGAATGGGAGGAGGAGTTAAATTATCAGGCAAGCATGAATTTCATGAGTAAAGAGCAAAATGGAGGGTTTTACACCAAAATATATAGAAGTCAAAGTTCTGAGGTGCTTTCAGTACCTGACAGGTTCAGAAAGCATGTGATTGTTCTATTAGAGACAAAAGGCCAAGTTCACTTAGCTATTTCTAGACTGATGTATAGTAGATAACCAATAAGTGTTTCATGAATAAGTAAACAAAAAGGATCATTATTTCTTTTTAAATACCAATAAGTACTGTGTGTTGACCAACATAGATCATATCTAACGACTGTCTTAGTCTTGAAAGAATGGAATACATATAGAACGTATGAATAGAAATGAAATGTGAGTGAGGTCAATACACTCACAAGAAAGTCCAAATTCAACCCAGAGTCAGAATTCACATGCATGGCCCTAGCACTCAGGACCCCTCGACAAGAGATATGATTTGAAAAACACTTCCAAGTTCCCTAAGCAGCAAACATGGTCCTCTGAGGGACAGTGCTCTGTGCCCAGTGTCTGGGCTTTCCTGGTTGGTCCTTTGTGTTTGGAAATGTCAAGATCAATGCCAGACTTTAAAAACTCACTTCCCACTTGGAGTCTCCTTCATTTTCCACCAACTTCAGGCCATGCTTGTTTTTCAAGTGTCTGTTAAACTCCCACTTGGTGCCATATACAAAGCTGCAAACGGGACACTTCAAACCACCTGCAAGCAGAGACAGAAAAGAGTCTTCAAGGTGAATGAAAGGAAAACAGTTCTGCCTTCTATCCAAATGCCTCCAAGCTAAGGAATACATTGTTTTATCTCTTCTATTTTCCCTCAATCCAAACTTATAACACATTATGTGTTTCAGAGCAGAGAATTTAAAACAATGTAATTTTTAAAAACATAAATTAATGGCATTCACAGTGAGTCTAATATATACACTTAAAATTTTAGGTAGCAGAGAGAAAATAAGGTGGCTTGAAATATTTAGGGTTAAGTCCTTCTCTCTCTTGAAAAATAACAATTTAGAAAATAAAAACAACCGATGAATAATGGCTGCTTTTCTCAATGTCTTTTGTCCCCAAACATAAAGACAATTCAGAATCTCAGTCTCCTTCACACTGGAAGCGAAGTGTCTGATATAAATTTCCATGCGAATTTTCCAGTAAAGGGCAAATGAGAAAGTTGGTCCCAACCCGAAATGTCACTAGACGGTGAACTCATTAAATTCTGCTTATGTTTTGGGAAGTTGTCTGAATGCTTTAATTAAAAAAAAAAAAACAATAAAAATTTTTGAAGGCAAGAACACTAAATTCTGGTTAGAGAAAAAAACAAACTTGATTCACACCAAGGATTATCTTTCTAAAATTACATCATGGCCAGTTACTAGAGAAGTAACTCAACAAAAATCACCTGAAAATAGCAGTCCTTTCAGAAATGAAGTCGGGCCTCAAGAGGTTAATCATTGTCCTAGTTTCAGATTCCCAGAATAGACTAGAACATAATCTAACTAAGCTGGCACTGAGGGTCTCTACTCTGTGCTGAGCTGGGGGCTCAGATAGCAACATCAGGTCACTGTCGTTCTCCACCATTGTATACTCTCTACCAGGACAAAGAATGGGCTTAAAACTATATACATTCACAATCCAGAGAGCTACTACAGGTGTTAAAGCACTTACCATGTATGTAGCTGACCACAGCTCAATCCCTGGCACCACATATGGCCCCCTTCTCTGGGCTCCATCACTGCCAGGGGTCACTCCAGAACACTGCCAGGTGTTCATTCATCCACATCTCGCCCAGAGATAAAAGCTCTCCAATAGTTTTCCATAACACCAAAATAAGTTCCAACTCCTTTGGATTCCCCAATCCTCTCCAAATGAGTGACCTGATGACAACCTCATCATCTTATCCCCTCCCCCCTTCTCTAATCTCTCCTTTTGCTTTTTGCAGTGATGCAACTCCACCCCCTCTCTGGACACTGGCTGTTGGGGTGTTTGCATATCTGTTGGGTGTCGCTGTGCGACCCTCTCTGCACTGCTAAGACCTCCCAGTGCCAGATATTTATCTCCTGCTCACTGGAACATGGAACGAGTAGAGGAAACAGTCCCGAGGACAGTGCTGCCAACTAATCAAAGAATCACCAGACAAGTCTCTCAGGGAAGCTACACACAATGTAAGCATCTCCCAGATGTCACTATGATGTACTGGATCTCCTGAATCAATTCCACGTCGGTGAAATACTAAAGGTACTGTCCTGTAATTGGACTTTCTTGTCTGCAAGCTGAGGTGGATAATTCCCCAAACAGTCCTGAACAGAAAGGCAGGTCAACCCAGACAGCTGCCAGCACATCCCTGGCTCCTTTGCTGCTGCCTTTCCACCACTCCCAAGAGACTCAGCACGTATGGGAGAGACAGGGCCAGAGTCAGCAGAAAGAACAGCAACAGACACCTACTTCTAAACTCATAAAATATACTAAAACAAAGACAGCAAAAAGAAATGGCTATTTTCTGAAACTCAAACACACTGCACTCTTTGTTCAGGCAAGACCAATTCATTGCCTATGCTTTCTTGCCCAGAGTATAGTTAAACTTAGGCTACAGCCTCCTTTGTTATCAGTCACAGCTGATATAAGCACATTTAAAATGATGTATTTTCCTATAACCATCTTTCACAATCCTTCAAGTTGTGAGGACCCCTGCTTTTCTCTTGCTAAAACTGATGCTGCTTCTTCCATAAAAACCTTAATATAAGGCAATGAACATATGCAAGCTACTGAAGGTTGAACTTTGGCATTTTAATGGAAACAAAACTTCCTTCGGTGGGATTCTTCTAAAGGAGAAAAATATCCTGACACTGTTTAAATTAAAATTATTACCATAATGCCCCCTCCCACATTAAATGAAATTTCAACCTTTGCCATAGTGACTCTAATTAAAGAACAACAAACAGAAATATGCAATCTAAACTGAACTGCATCAATTAATGGACATCAAGGCTGGAAGAAATTAATTTCTATTTCAGTTCATTAAATTCTTTGGCTATGCACAGTAAAGGTCATGGGAAGACTGGATGAATTGACTTGCAGCTCTGATATTAAGTGCACACCATAAAAAAAAAAACCTGCAAACCAACAAATCACAATTTTCTCATAATGATGAACCAAGCAAAAGAATAGAACTTCAGGAGCAATTTTAAAAATCGATCATGGCATCCTGTGCACTTTTTGGAATGCAATACATTCTGGAGACGTTTCAGGCATTAAAATATTTGCACTACTTTGTGGTAGCTGACATTATTGAAAATTCAATTTCATTTTCAATAATATAACTCCTGGAATGGCCTGGAACACACGGTGCACATTTACTCACATGACCAAGAGCAACTTCCTTTTTACTCTCAGTTTTTAATCTTTTACCTAATAGCAAAAAAAAAAAAAAAAAAAAAAAAGTTTAGCTTCTGAATGCAGACACTTGCAAAAAGAAGAATAATAGAACCTCAGATGTAACTATGTAACCTAATGTGGCAAACGGCTATGGACTACGAGTTTAAGTATTTGAGGGAATATTCTGGATTATTCAGGTATGTCTAACTTGGTCACAAAGGTCCATCTAAGGAAAAGACAGTAAAGACGACCACCATAATGTGGCAAGGAAAATTCTACTGCTGTTTTCTTATTTTAAAAGATGGAATAGGAAATCACCCACAGCTGCCGCCCTTTTGACTCACACACAGGCCCTGCTCTATTGATTCCTGACCGAATCTCCCAGGAGATGCACGCCAATCAGCTAAGATGTATGGAATCACTGATACCCACAATTACAAACTCCAAGGAGCCTTCAGGAGCCGGGCAGGCCAAACACCCGCCCAGGTGAAGCTCTGACAGCCATTCCATACCCCACCACTGCAGCCGTGCTCAGGACTCAGCTTCAGCCACCGCTTAACGAATATTCTCTGTAGAGGCGCCAATCTGCGAATAACGCTAGGTACCTGGGTGCCCAGGCTAAAAACTCTGGTGTTTTTTGGAGCTGGGGTGGGCAGCCTCCCATGCAACCCTACATACTTCCGGGTGCCCTGGCAGCCGTGCCCCTCCCACAACTGCCACCTTGCCATTAGCACAGACCATACATTCTAAGGTCTCTCGACCTCGTGGCCCTGCATGATGCCTCCTATGACACAAACAATAAATTCCTGGACAAGGACTTAACACCCTGTGATGCAATATAACAATTTTCACATACATTAATTTTTTATATATTGATTTTAATATTGGAGCTTTGTTATATAGTCAATATTAATTCCAGGATTGTATCAACAGCTGTGGGTTATTTTTAAATTCAAATGTTTTTTAAAAATTAAAAAAAATTTTAAATATGGAAGAAGGAGCTCAAGTCAAGAAAAGTGACCAGCTTCTAGAAGCTGAAAAATACAAGAGACCATATTCTTTCCCCATAACCTTTGAAAAGGAAAACAGAATGTTGACTTCAGCCTAAAGCTCATCTTGGACTTGTGATCTTCAGAACTATAAGATAATAAATGTGTGTTGTTTTGAATCACCACCAAGCTTTTGGTTATTGATTTCAGTAGTCAATAGGAAACTAATACAGGCACTCAGGACAATTGTAACAAAGTCATTTCTTGTTTCTCAAAGAAAAATGGCTACAGAGCAATTTGATTTTACAATAGAGTGAAATATAGAATTGGATTTTGTTCGCATTCTTGTTTTCTATTATCTCAATATAGTGCCTGTCCTAGGGTCTCCAGTAAGAACTCACACGGAAATACATTAAGGGCAGAAACCAAATGAGAGTCAATTTTATGCCAGCACCACGATAGAGGGTTCCTGACAACACAGCATAATTTTAGATCATTTCTGGACATGGCAAGCACAGATGCCTAAATTTCATCTCCAACTTCAGTGCATTTTCCATGAGACACCTCAAGAAAGAGAGAACGGGAGGGTAAATACAGCAGATAGAAAACAAAGTGCACTTTATTATTAGTCTGAATGGTAAGTTCAGTGAGGAATATTTGGTAAAAGGAGATGACACCAAGGTCTCCCCCATCACTACTAATCCCCCACATATTCCTCCGAAATCCTGCGACCTGAGATCCTCTACAGAACCAAAGAAAAGCACTGGAAAGAGCCCTGAGAGTCCATCTCTGGTCAAAATAGCAGCAGATTCTGGGGCCAAAAAAATAAGACAAAGTAAACAGCAACATTTGTGACCTTCCAATTCATTATCACGTGACCGCCAGCAGTGGTAAACTAGCCAGCATACTACAATAGGACCATGTATCTTCCTTCCTTCTCTGCAAATACGTAACTTAAGACAAACTTGGGGGTAACATGCTCTTCAGGATGGGTTTGGGGGCCTATGGCCTGCGTGGGTCATTGTTCTTAGTGCATTTCCCCACTTTGAAACAGGAATGATGGGGCTGGGCAGTTAATTCAGAGAGCTACAGCACATGGGTCACGTGTTTTACATGCAGGAGGCCCTGGTTTAATCCCCAATATTAACTCTATCCCACCCCTCACTCTAGAGCACCATGTTGGGAGTAGCTCCCAACTACTATTGCTGTGGTCCTCAAACAAACAAAACATATACAAACCACCACAACAATGAAAAGAAAAATGATGATGCTAATTGAGCTCACTCAGTCACTTATGAGTTTTTTACATAAGATGTAAACAGAATCACATGATGGCAAGCTTCGA